GTTGATTCTTTTCATATCAATTTTAAATTGCTTCTCATAAAATATAACACCGCCAAAAAAGAAAGAAATTAAAGCACTATCTGAAGCAATAACTAAGAGCAGGTTGGTGGAAACAATGCTTTTTTATTAACACAAAAAGGCAGACAAACAAAGAAATGAAGAAAGTTCAACCAGCTCAAAGCAAAATTTAGATGGTATTTAAATAACATCTTGCAAACAAATCACTTGTGGCAGGACTTAGACAATCAGCAAATAAACATGTTCTGTCTTGATAGAAAACTATATACCAATATCTTCATATTGTAACAGTTTTAACACCTAGCTACCCACTCCATGGTGAAATAGAGATACTCTTTCAAATATGTTTTGAGAAGATCTAATCTTGTGCAGTACTAACCTCTGAGTGCAACTCTCTCAAAATACACTTTGCATGCATTGTATTCTTCAATGTCCATTGTTGTTTCCAGCCTCAGCATGGCCAGGTTCAGTTTCTTCAAGATCTTTTCAGTTACAAAACTGTTTTGAACCATTTCACCAAGATGACCAGATAAATAATCTATCCACAACCCCTCCAAGATCAATGGAGATTCACACTTCACCGTAATCACTAAACTTCCTACAGAGACACCTGTAATGATGAACCTCATTTCTTTTGCATATTCCTTAAACATATTGTGCTCCTCAGTGGACTGTGGCGGTGTAGTCTGGAGATAATTTTGAACAATTGATAGAAAGATTTGCTCTTTGAGAGCCGCAAGATGTTCTGACTGAGGATAACACACACTTCCGAATGTAGCTGATGTAGTAGATGTCCTTGGCTGCTGAACCTTTTGGCCTCTGACAGACTCTGTTGTCAACAATATGCCAGTCTGCATACTGGTATTTTGTTCTTCAGGTTTAAAGTCTTTCACATCAACCTTAATATTCAATTCACCACCTGTTGAATTATAACTGTTACAGTCAACTTTAATCCTAATTTAATTGGAGTTTTTGACCTCTTACCTATCAAACCATTAAACTGCAAAAGCTAATGTTTTGAGGGGAAAAGCTATGAAACAACTTATAACCAGTGAAAGATAACAGTTGAATCTGGTTCCTACATGTATTAAGGTCTATCTCCCTAGAGATACTCTGGTAAAAACATTGTTTATTTTTAATCCAATCCTTGGAATATATTAGTAGGATTTTCTCTCAGGAAACTTAAT